GTGTTTCTTCATCTTGATTTGGGCGCATCAAATGATTTAGTATTGATCCTAATACGGGCATTTAACAAATTCTTAAGAAGCAATAGCTCCTAACACTGGGTGGATTTATTGACTTGAGTAAGTGCTGGAAGTCCTGATGATATGCATAGGAGTCTTGATTCTGTGATATCAAATGGCTTGATAAACACCACCAATCTCATGGTACATTAATAGTACCGTACAGTGCCATTCTATTACGGTGGTGTACAGTGTCCATGGTACTGTACAATACTATTTTAGTCTGGTACCATATATTACCATACCATACAGTACCATAGCCCAAACAGTACCATAACGTTGGAGATACACAACTGTATGTAATTTTACGGTACTGTTGCCTGTGAAGCTGTCAAATGGACGTTAACTGTTATCTTCATCATTGATCATCATAAACAACATGTTTGTGACTGAATCTTTTTAATACCAATAAGGAACTTTGCGTGCCTGTTGATTGTTGGTTGTATTGTTGAGGTTTTGATTTTGACAGCATTGTACCTACCCCGTGACCTCCTTTTATGGTACATCCCCCCATCATCTAGCTAAGATTTGACACCAGGAAATATTGTATCTACGCTAAGCAATGTCAGAAGATACATTATATTGTAGCAGGCATGGTTCTGATGATCAGAAGTGATGAAGAGATGTATTATTTTGGTTTATATCACAACCCAATGAGGTGTGTATAAATGATTAACTTTCCTGTTATCTCAAAATCTGCTTGGAACTATACCATAGGATTGCTATGGGAATTCCTCAAAGAGAAAATTGTAGGGAATAAGGAATGGGTACCATTTACACGATTTAAGAAATTATTGGCATACATTAAACCTATTTTAAAACAGCATTTATATGATCATAATCAATGATTCCTAGCCCTTTGAAGTTTGAAAAATAAAAAACCTGGGTGTTAATCCATAGATAATCCTTGAAAAGAGAAATATCTTTTGGGGATTATATTAAAGTGTATTGATGTTTTTAACCCGATTCATTCTACAAACAACATGCAGTCCTTTGTTTGACAATCCAATCCTTTTTCCATAGCAACCATCAAACCTATAATCACCATAATCTTTTTCCAGTTACTTATGACATATACATGTGTAATTTTTTTTAGTATGTTAAGACGAGGGGAGTGGCATAAATATTTGGGGATGAACAAAATGATAAAAAGTTAACTGATGCCTACATTGTGTAGAAATGTTGAACTATCAAGTAGGTTTGATCATACAGTTAAATGTCACACTCACTTTGGATTATAAAGAAGGATGGGTCATAGTGAAATCTAAAAAATCTAATTGAAACCCAATCATCACTTCATTTTAATGCATGCAGGACATACATATGCAGTTTTCTAAACCTTAAAACAATGCTAATTTTGCAGCAGAATTCGCTAGGATAGTGCTCTTTGTGAACCAGCCCCCCTCCCAATATCTTCACAAGTTGTGATGATCAAATCCTGTTTAGAAACTATTCATACCTATAATTACCAAGAATTTTTTCAATTACTGATGACATATACATTTATCCTGTCTGAAAAATTGATGGTTATTCGCTGCATTGTTGTAAAGTTATTAATCATTTTCAAGGTATCCCCTACTTTTGTCACGCGGGAGGGGTGGTGGTGACGAAGGAGGGGTTATAAATATTGAGATGGATGAACAAAATCATATAAACTGTTGACTGATACAAGAATCATACCTTCTGTTGAAATTGTGATAATACTGGCTAAACAATTGAAGTTATCTACTGTTAAGTAGGCTTGATCATGCCACGCCCACTTCGGATTATTTAGAGGGGGTGGGTCATAGAGAAAAATTTTAAAAATATTTCTGATTGAGACATAATCATCAATCCAATTTTAATGCATGCAGGACATATATATGCAATTTTCTAAACCTTAAATCAATGCTATTTTTGCAGCATAACTTGCTTACATAGCATTTTTTCGTTAACGAGCCCTCCAAAATAGACACAAATTAGCAAATTTTGACAATCACATTCTGTTTCCATAGCAACCATCATACCTATAGTCACCAATTTTTTACCAGTTATTAATGACATATATGTGCATATATTCTGAAAAAAATGTGGTTATTCATAATGTTTTTGTAAAGTTATTAATTATTTTCTATGTACCCCCTACTTTTGTCATGTGGGGGGTATAAATATTGATTTTTTCCTAAACGCTGTAAAATTTTGCTTAATTATTGCCAAATTGTGGTGAGAATTACAAATTAGGATGTAACTAGCATGGTCTCCAAAATTCTACCTCCATACCGCAATTTAAGAGCTAGCCCATCACCTACATATAATCATGAGCAATAGATTTCACTGTGTGGATAGGATAAAACACCACTTGATTTAATATTATCAAACATACTCTGAATAAGTTTTCTAAAATGTTTTTATGGTGTTTCTTTCCAATTTCATTAAAATAATATGTGTTTTGTCTCATGGGGTGTCTTACATTTTGACGAAATTGTGTACCTATTTGACATATGATCTCCGTTTCCATAGCAACCAGTTGACTAACTTTGATGAAACTTATTACTTTTGTAGTACATGATGAGTACATGATTACCTGTAAATATCAAAATGATTGGTTGTAAATTCTAGGAATTATACATGGCCTTCCTAGTACCCCCCTCAAAATCAAACAAGGGGGGTATAAATCTGAATATTTCCAAAACGCTGAAAAACTAGACACCAGTATTTTCAGAATCAATGTAGAATCATGAACCACAAATAACCTACATGAAGAGAAATTTGCTACTTTTCAAAACCACTTTTACACTATGCTCATCCAGTATTTGAACACTTATCCTATATTGAGAATGTACAAATTATTTAAAAATGATTTTGGTAAAGAATTGTATTTGAAGCTAGATAATAAAAAGTATAGATTGGCTACAAGTAGATTTAGAATGAGTTCTCATCAGTTAGCAATTGAGACTGGAAGACATACAAAGCCAAAACCAAAACCTATAGAGGAAAGATTATGTAATATTTGTAAAGATGTAGAGGATGAATGTCATTTCTTTTTAACTTGTACAAAAAATGATGAGAATAGGCAAATATTATTTACAAAAGCCCGTGAAATTTTACCTAACTTGGATTTACAAAGTGAAAATTTATTTGTCAATCTTATTTCTAGTAAAAACGTAACCTTGCAAAGACATATTGGCAAATTCATTTACCATTCATTTAAGAATTTAACATGGTCATAATGCATTGTGTGTGCACCACACTATTATTGTTACCTTATATGTTTTATATATTTTTGTATTTTTAGTTTAGTTAGTGTTTTGTAGTTTAGATATGTAGACCATAGTTCTGACTAATGTAATCATGTTATGATACTATATGTCAATAAAAGTTATAATAATAAATACCATTTTTTAATCGTAAGTTAGCAGCCTTCTAATCAAATTACATACACAATCGTAATTCAATACACCAATGAAACTTAAAGAGAATAAATTAATGGACCTATTTTCTCAAAAGAGAATAAATTATCTGACCTAACTTCCAACAATATTGTGGCGCAAAATGCAAATGTGATATCACACGGATATGCGTGAGATAAACGATATCACACGCATATGAGTTTGATAAACGATTTTCTGGAAAATATCACACGGATTTCAATAATATCAGAAATATCAATAGCTGTTATTGTACAGATAACACATTAATCGTGGGATAATACAGAATAAGCAATTTATTTAGAGACTTCCAGAAATACTTGTTTATAATTAAGCGGGGCCTTCAGAGGCACTGCAGGAAAAACGAGACAAATTTGATACATATGCATTGCTCATGTACAGGATATAATAAATATGATTTACTAACTGTATACAATTATGTGCACATCCTATGTAAAAACATAACTATCCCTTAAAAAGATGACAAATGACCAACATCATGGAGATTCATTAACTCATTTGTAAAGTCAAAATAGATTCCTGATGTGCATTAGCAAATAATTTCTCTTGGAACACCCTGATTTTATTAAGACCATAAATCACAGAAATTGCATACTACTCCTACATATAAATCAGAAACTGTTGCATTGAATCATCTGCCCAATAATTCACCAGAGTGATCCGAAAAATCAGCCATGCTGAATTTACTGTCAATCTAATCATACACCCCATATCATTCTTTTCAATGAACTGCATGCCTAATTGTGCGCATTTCTTTACAATTCGAACTGGTACCTATATGGATTTTCTGACTTTCAAGCCGTGGTTAATTTATAATTTTCTACCACATTCAGGCCTACTTGGTATAAATTCTCTGTGAGATCTTTTTTCTACCCTATCCAGGCTTGCACCTATTGGGTCTAAATTCTCAATTTGTATAATATGTGTTGCTTTTGAAATGTAAATTAAATGGCAACCAACATGGTCTATACATGTCATGATGTTAACATGTAAAATATAGAATATGTGGATGAAAATGACAATATTTTGAAAAAGAACATTTTTAAGCACAATTTTAAATGGAGCAAGGCTCCCTCAACCCAAAGGTATGAACCTGCTAATTAACATTCGAAACTACATATACAAACCACTATAGCAATTTTATATGCTGGTGAGCATTATCAGATTTCTTATCAATGCCTATGCCACTCTCTTTCTCTGTAAAATTTGCCTAAAGTGTCAAAGTTTCTGTCATTTTTATACCATTTAGAATGTCAACTACATCCCTATCTATCCTATTTCTCGCAAATTCCACTCTTCCGTTCTATTTTGCATTTCAAAACACATCACAACATCGTGACTTTTCTCAATTGTAATCTACTTATTACCAATCGACCTAACCGTTTCTAATCATCACCTAAGAGTCCTTGAAAACACCATGATCCTAATCCTGCCTAATCACGACACATCAGGTATATTAAATTCACAATTCTCAATTTTTACATTCAAAGGTAAAGATATACTGAAGATTCTTACATTTTCCACAGTTGCGATAGATTTAATTGTTGGCATTGCCGCAGAATTAATGAACGAGATGACGTCTGCAGTTTGCACTATGCTGTACTAATCCGTATATTCTGGGACACTGTCACTATCACATTAATCAATGAATCTTATATATTTGTGAAGATCCACATATATCTATATTTCTCTATATTTTTCCTAGGCTGGTAGAATCGATGAAATTTGTCTCATATATCGTTGATAATCTATAATGTGGCAGAACCAAACAGATAATTTTGTATCTCTTCGTGATTCCAGCTAATTTTTGCCTAACAGATAATCTATAGACACGGCAGCAAGCAAAAACCATTGATGACTTGCCTCAATGATGCTTTACTCTCGCGGTAGCTTGGTGTGTTGGAACAAAATTCCAATATACCAGCGGGGGTTTTACCGTTAATTACTATTTGTTCTTGACTTCTCAAACACCCCGATGTGGGATTCAAAGACTTGTCATATTAAACTTACTGATTGGCTACAAATGAGATCTGACCAAGTTATAGTGACAGCATTACATAAACATATATATTACAATTTGTCTAATTATAATTTATTTAATTATTCTATTTGGATGAATATTCTGAGTTATCAATACCCATTGAAAAACGATCACAATAATGCTTTAAAAAACGAAAACAGTATAAAAGAGGAGAATAAGACGAGGAATAAAGTCACCAGTCCCGAAGTCAACAAACTAGATTATATAGAAATGCAAGAAAATCAATAAATTCATTTGAAATTCAGAGAGAAATTGAACAAAATAAAGATGATCAGAGAGAAATTTGAGGAACTGGTGGGGATTGATCAAATCAATACTTGTTCAATTAATGTAGACCTGGACAACACTACCACCTGTACATTGTTTAAATTGTGCAGACCAGGTCCCATCATAGGCTCTAACAAGTCATTAATTAGTAGACCCATGTAGCAAAGTAGCACTATTAATTCCCTTTGTACTGTAATTCCAATAATTGATTGATTTCTGTCATTGACAGTATACACAGCACAAACCTAGCTGATTGCCACATATATTTGAAAATATCAAATATCAAAATAGTTTGTACCTAGTTAAAGATAATCTAAAAATTTTCATAATGTTAGCCAATTTTCCAAGGTATTAATAAGAACAAAATGGGATAAAGTAAAACAATTTTATCCAAACATGGATAATGGTCGATCCCATAGGCTCACTGTGTGAGCCAAAAAGTATATGAAACACATAACCATTGTGACAACTGAATAGAAAGAACTCAATGACACAAGTGACAATAACAGAAATATCCAATAATGAATATTCCTATCTCTTTATTAATTATGGGGTCCATTCACAAAAGACTACTGCTTGTAGCTATACAGTAATAATAAATATAACGCATTCCTTAAATGTCACCATAATTTTGATAATTCCCTTGGCATTCCTTGTAAAATAGTGAATGGAAAATATCATTTATGTCATATTAAAGTACTTATTACTACTCAGAGTAAAAATCGAATCATCAAGAAATTATTTTACAATATTTTACATGACTTCAAAGGTATATTTGTATAACATGAGCTGTGTAATTTGAAAACAAAGTTATACTGTGAAGACATATTCTAATTGTTTATTCAGAAAACATCATAATATCATTCTACTCTAAATGCGTTTGAAAATAAAGCTAAATTCTTTCTCTCTTCATTTAACATTAATCCCAAAATCTTGGAATGTGAGTTTGTATATTTCTATATAATTTGAAGTACCTACAAGCCTATTTATTCTTTGATGGGCCCATTCTGATCTCAAAAGATGGGACTTCATAGTATTGTTCTCATATTACGTAAATATTCTAATCAACTAGAAAAGTCCTACATGATACATAAAATAATCTGAAAATCAATTCAAATGAGATTATATGTGTTCAGTTTTGACATATCTACAATCAACCATGGGAATATGTATTCATACTGAACAAATCAGATGAAAAAATCTCAAACATGATTTCCCGCATATAAAATCAAGAGATACCTACAAGTTTAAAATTCAAAATACATGCAAAAATAATCTAAATACTAAAAACAGAGTAAAAGACCTTAAAGGCAAGACTTTAAGTTATAGAGAATTACCAACTAATCAAACACTTTGATCAAATTTAAGAAAGATATTGCGTAAAATAGCTATGAGCAGACGTCATTTTAAGATAAGTTTTAATTAATTTAACTTGTGCCAATGGCAGCTAGCTTTGAATTCTCTAATGGAATTAATGATTTCAGTCATTCTCTGATCATTTCCACAAACAACAAGATGACCTTCTCTCTATGAACTACTGAGTACTACACATCAACAGAACAAAGGGCCATGTCATAAAAAATGAAATGGATTTTATCTTTATAGTACAGTCACCAATTGAGGAATTAGGATAGCTTGAACAAGTAACTTACATGTATCAGAAGAAAGGTCTCCCTGTTATTTGGTATATTCAATGCACTATGTAAATATAATAATGCCTTGTTCTTGAATCATATTTTACTCAATTGTCAATAAGGGTATGGCTACATGTAATTGGGGATTGTTTCATAAACCACTGTGAAAATGTTTTATGATGATTATCATGTTATTTAGGTATCATTGGGATTAGTATATTCAGTACAACCACATTCAAATCTCCTATTACAAACTATTAGTTTCTAATACTTTCTCATAATATGGATAACATGAAAGCACAGAGAAAAATAAGGCAATTTTACTGAACTGAACTTTATAGACACACATACGCCAGCAGGGGAAAGAACAAAAATGTCATCATTTGTAATTTAGATGCAGGACAAGGCATTAACATACAAAATGTCACCACCTGCCATTTGTTATAGATTCCAACTGCCAAACACTAACCAGCAAATGCCAAAAACCAACTGCCAAATACCAAAACACCATCCACAAAAAAGTCACCACAATATGTCACCACTTGTGATGAAGTAAAAATTTTAAAGTAAAAAAATTCTTTAAAAGATTGGAAAACTGAACAATGCAAAATTTCAAAATATGTTTAGGGATCATCATACAGAGAAAAATGAACATCCTGGAACAGAAGTTTTATGGCTAAACAAACGGTTTTTATGTAGGAAAGAAACTTTGTACATGAAAAATTGGATAAACGTAGGTTTTATTTATGTCAAGGACTTTTTTGACGAGAGAAATAATCTCATTGATGAGAAAACTGTTTTGTTAAGATTAAAGAATAAGTAAAATTGGATGACCGAATTTTTAAGAATTAGACTTGTTTTGCACAATATAAAATATGAGAGTAAACAAAGTATGAAATATGCTAACAAAAGGCATTCAAACTCTTTCCTATTTAGAAATGACAAATATGAAAACATTGAGAAATTAAGTTCAAAGTTCTTTTATAAAATCCTATTGAAAGATAAATTTATTAGACCAAAGATGGAAGCAGATTGGACAAAATCCTTCAATATTCAGAACGATAGAATCACTTTTAGAAATTTATACAAAAACAAGATAAAAGATATTGAATGCCAAAAGTTATCAGAATTTAATTTTAAACTATTACATAATTTCTTAGCCTGCGGAAAACTGGTAAATAAGTGGAATATGAATGTACCAAAAGAATGTAGTGAGTGTAATGTTGTACAAGACATTAGACATTTATTATATGATTGTGTGTTAATTAAAAATCTATGGAATATTCTAAGTGAAACACTAAAGGTGGATATTACTTGGAAAAATATACTTCTGGGGTACCAAAGCATGAACAGCAAATTAGAATTTAGAATGTTGCTTTACACAATATTGATGAAATGTATTCATGAAATTTGGACAAAAAACTCAGACAATCCAACTCAATATAAACAAGCAAATTTTAAATCGAAAAAAGCATCTAAATTAAATATTTATGAACACTTTTTTGAACTGCAAGGAAAAGTAAATATTGCTCATGATTTTAAGAAAATTATAAATGCCTTTGCTGCTTACTAAGATTGAATGGATTTTCTGGACTTTTACTATTGTATAAGGATCAAAATTTTGATAGAGTATAAAATGCTGTGAAAATCCTATTTTACTAATGTATAAATTCTAATCCAGGATATATGTATATTTCCGTTTGTGCATAGTTTTATTGATTTAAGTATTGTTTTTGTTTATGTATTTTGCGTTTATGTTTTTGAATAAATATTTTTATAAAAAAAAAAAAAAAAAAAAAATCATACAGTAAAAGAATTATCATCCAATTCTGCTTGTTTAGGGGTATATAATTAGGATCCTGTAATATCACAAAATAAATTATAATATATATATATTATTGCTTTGAATTAATGCATGACTAGCAATGTGCAAAAATAAGAGATTTACCAAATGCTTTGACCAAAGATAAAGAATAGGATGAAAATAACAATGGATCTAGGGAATCAGACAAGAAGATCAAAGATCATGGTGATCAAGGATATAATGACAATAGAGATCTGGCCATATGGGACAGAGGTTTATTGTATATCCTAGAAAGGGATCTAAAGGATCAGAAAACTAGGGGATCAAGGATCTTTGAGATCAGAGATAGTGAGGCAAAATGATAAAGGATAAGGATGTTATTCAGTTTGGCTGTGACTATAACTTTCACTAAGTATGCAGAATTAAAAAAAATGGCCCATAGACGCAAATCAAGATAAACCTTTTTAATAACTCAACAGTTTCATGCTAAGAATATTTTGCCATTCCTTTCAATAAATTAAACGTATTGTCACTCTTAAAAAACGGAAAATAAAATTGAAATAATAATACCTTAGATATTAGGAGTTTAAATTGCTGATTTCAAGAAATAAGCATGAAAATAAAATGAGAGTAAAATTTCATACAAGGGGACAAATACTCCTTTGCCTAAATCTTCTCTCAGTTCACACATATTCTACTCTCCCTCCCATTAAAAAGTGAACAAACTGGCTGATTTTTTTGCATTTTCACAATGTTACCTACATGCCTGTTAAATCTACTCCTTGCTTTTCCACTTATTATATGCTGTTTTTGCATCTCAAAACATGACCATGATTAAATTTTTCCATGGGTTCAGTTTGTCTTATCATCTATTTCATTATATGCTCAGATTAGCATTGGGCGTCTTTAGTACAGTCTAATCTGTAAGTGTCAGAAATGTTCGAGTATTTTGAGAATCCACATCAATCTTTCTGAATAATAGGTGGAAATATTTCACATTTGGGAATTGTTAGTAATCTAGTTTATCACCTAAAATGAGGGACATTCCAACAGTCTCTATTAGTTCAGATGTTTCATGGTTATTATTGTCTTCGAAACTACTAGTTATATGCAAATTGAGAACAATAATATATAACAAACATATGAGGACAAACTTTATCTTTAGAGGGGAGTACTGTTGCAGCATGAAATCTGTGACACTCTCCCCCCAACTTAAAAATGTTCATCCTCAAACTATCTTTTTATTCCTGATTCACTACAATGTGTTGTAA